CACCAGCCCAACAGACTATCTGGTTCCAAAAGACCCGATCTGATCAGGGGGAAGCTCTGGAGCTAAACCCTAGACCAGCCAAGGCCTATCTAGCTGAGATATCTCAATTTCTCAAGACTCTATCAGTTCTATACCATATGACTAGTGGGGCCCCAGCCCGTGGAACAGAGCTGAACCAGGTCCTGTTCCAGAATTCAGCTGCAGGCCTCAGGCATCTCTTTCTGGACCCGAGATACCAGCAGTTCCTGATTCGCCTGGCCTATTCAAAGACCTTTAGCCAGACCGGCCAGGTCCGTGAGGCTATTAGGGCTCTGCCAGAGGTAGTATCCTGGCTTCTACTGATCTATCTAATATATATTGAGCCCTTTCTGGAATTCTTGATTATTCAGCTGAATCACAGCCTTCCCAGAAAGCCAGAGCGTCTCTAGACCACCTTTAGGGTTTCTCACCTGTCTAGGGTTTCGGTCAGGCCTATTGATTCCCGGACACTATCAACCACTATGAAAACCCTAATGGTTGCGAAGCTGGGTCAGCCGCTTGGGGTGAGCACCTGGCGGCACCTGGCCCAGGCCATCATTCGCCATGGGATGCAGGAGCAGGTGCCCGAGGAAGGCCCCGGGGATGACCGGGATAATGAGGGCCTCGGGGCCCAGCAGATGCATCATTCCAGAAGAACCGGCCAGCAGATCTATGGCCGCCAGCAGGTACAGTTTGGCCAGGTCGGGCCGGATCACCAGGAGGCCCTGATCCAGTTCAGCCAGCGCTGGCATGCCTATTTAGGGTTAGCACCCGGTCAGATCATTCTGGACCGCCTATTCTATCCCCATGCAGAGCAGAGAGGCCCTGGTATTGATCCGGATGGCAACCTGGATGGCAACCTGGATAGCAACCTGGATAGTAACCTGGATGGCAATCACAATAGCAACCATGATATATATACTGAGATCGGCCAGATCAGATCCCTGCCCCTGGCCGAGCCGGTGATTCAATTCTACTGGCCCCGGGCCATGGCCACACAGGCCCCGAGGCACCATGTGACCCTGGGTGAATTCAATACATATATCTCACTGGACCAGGGCCCGGGGGCCCTACCGAACCACAGTCCAACCGAACCAGCGGACCCGGACCCGGACCTGGACCAGCTGGACCAGGCCCAGCGCCTGCGGCAGCCGGTCTCGCACCAGGCCTCTACGGCCACCTTACCCCAGGCAATCCTTAACCGGCTCCTGAAGGAGTTCATGCAGGATGAGCAGGCCACATTCCGCAGCCCGGCCCAGGCCAGGGCCCTGCATGCTCTACTGACCAAGGTGCCCTACCTGATCCTGATCCTCCCAACCGCGGGGGGGAAGACCACCCTCTTTCTGTTGGGAGCCAGCCTGGCCATAAGCCAGACCACAATCCTAGTGGCACCCCTGGTAGCCCTGAAGATGGATCTCTACCGCAAGGCCCAGGCCCTAGGGCTCTCAGTCCGGATCTATGAGGATGGCCATGATCAGGGATCTATCCCGAGGATCCTGCTGGTTTCAATAGAGTCCCTGGCCATGCCGCGGTTCTATAGCTATACCAGGACCCTAGCAACCCAGGGTCAGCTAGACCGCGTTATTTTCGATGAATGCCATTTGATCCCCCTAGCCCAGTCCTACCGTCAGGTGATGCATCGGGTCAAGCAGGTCATGCAGTTGCCAGTCCCCATGGTCTTCAGCTCAGCCACCCTACCGAAGCATCTTGAAACAGAGCTCCGCTCTATGATAATGATCAGTCAGGCCGAGGTGATCAGGGCCAATATTAATAAGCCTAACCTACAGTATGGGGTTCAGCTGATATCTCAAAACAGTGAATATCCAGAGGCACTGATTCAATTCATGAAGCATTTTGAGTGGACCAATCAGAATACTGCAAGGCCTTTGAAGATTATTGTATTCTGCATGTCCAAGGCCCTCGTCGAGGCCCTCCATAGCCAATACCCGGAGACATATTACTTCCATGCAGATCTGCCTGACCCGGTCAAATCAGACCAATTAGACCGCTTCATTCAGGCAGGTCAGGGTCAGGCAGGTCAGGCAGGTCAAGCAGGTCA